AAATTCCACTAAATTATTCGTTCTTTTTCATTTTGACCCTATTGGCAATGTTCTCAGCGTGCTGACTGAGCTTCGTTGGGAGGGAGCTGGCTGGCTAGGAAGACAGTGTGGCAGCCAGAGGAAGAGTCTTCTAGGGAGGTGAGGAGCAGGAACAGAGGCCTGGGCGTGGGCAGTGGTGCAGAGGAGCCCAGGAAGACTTGGGGGAATAGTGGGAAATAAAACGATAGTAGAGGCTTAAAACCTAGGGAGGATATTCAGAATTAGAATTCTTTCAGCATAAGAACATGAAAATAGAGTTTCAAAAGAAGGATCCAATGTGTAAGAATCGTATTGTCTCACTAGTGTAAAGACCTGAAAGAGTGAATAAAAACTAGGAGGTATGATTGACATTGTGAAACAAAAGGAAAATGCTCAAAAGTAAAGGGCAACTGGGGTGTGGGAAAAGAGAAGAGAAAGAAGGGGAAATTATGTAAGTATGCATACACAGGATAGCTAACATAGTTGTACTGCTGTCTTCTATTGCTCTGCAGAAAGGAACAGTTAATGATTACTTGTTTAATCAATCTTGTATGTCTCTATTTGTTTTCTTGAGAAACCACTTTGAAGATATCAATAAATAATACAACAACCATTGTTAATTTCCTACAACTTTGTCTGTAACTCAGTTTTGTTTGTATTGTTCTATGCTATTTTGTAAATGGATGTCTGTTTGTTAAAAAAAAAAAAAAAAGCAGAAGGATCCAAACCAGACATGGTGGCACATGCCTGTAAGCACAGCACTGTGGACAGCTGAAGCAGGAGGATCAAAGTTTGATCTCAGGTCTGACAACTTAACAATAGCAACTTAGCAAGACCTTGTCTCAAAATAAAAATTAAGGCGGAGTGGTGGGGAGGTGCCTGGGGATTTAGCTCAGTAAAGGTCCTGGGTTCAATCCCTAGTACTAGGGGAAAAAAGATCCAGAGTGTTGGTGTGCCCTGTGGTTCCAGCTACTTGGGAGGCTGAGGCAGGAGGATCAGTTGAGTCCACTAGCTCCAGCTTGGACAATATAGTGAGACCCCATTTCAAAAAGAAAGAAACACAAAGCTGGGCTAGTGGTGGAGGATTGAAGAAGCCTCATGTAAGGATGGTCATAGTGAGTGGTGAAGCTAAAGACAAGAGAGTGGGCATGGCAGAGGACAGGGCTAGTCTCAGAGATGGTCAGAAGAAAGAAATTACAGAACTTGAAGCATAAAGCTATGAGGAAGAAAGAGGACTAAAGAGTTACAGCACAGCTAGTGGCACATGCCTGTTATTCCAGCACTTGAGGAGGCTAGGACAGGGTTAAGCAATTTAGTGACACCTTGTCTCAAAACAAATATAAAAAAGGGTTAAGGAAATATACAATATGAAGACTCTGGGTTCAATCCCCAGTACTTAAAAAAAAAGTACAGCAAAAATTTCCAGGCTCAGCAGATAACAGAACAGTGAAGTTGTGACACAAATTGAACATTTCTCAAGCTAGAACAAAACACTAATTTTCTGTTGCTGTAGTCCTTCCTGGGAGTGTGTGAAACCACAGAATGTGCTCTTGTGACCTTGGTCTTTTGTGAGTAAAGCACTTGCCTTCCATGATTCCAGATACTTAGGGAACACCGTGTCATTGGCTCCCATAGCCCCAGTGTGAGGGAAGCCGTAGTGTGGGGTTGGGAATGTGCTGGATGCAAGGGCTGGGCCTTGGCCAAGGTGAGGCACACTTCAGGTTTGTGGGAAGGGTGGAGTGGTCTGTGCTGGAAAATAAGCTTAGTTTTCTGTAAGGTTTTTTTTTTTTACGTACTGTTCTATCTCTAGACCCTCACACACACACACACACACACACACACACACACACAGTTGGTGCATAAACTTATTTAAGAGCATGTGGTGGATCTAGATAGTGCGATTTGATGCTGTAAGGAGTTACCGTTATCTGTCATTATTATACCACCTAGAGCAGACAAAGAATTGTAGCACAAGATCACAAAATTATGTTGGTTGGAAAAATCATGTACTTTTAACCAAATTAGAGTTACAGTGACCCAAATTGACCTTAACACAAAATTGAGGCAAGAGTTTTTGTTTGCTAATATTACTAAGACCTTTTCCATTTTATGATTTAACCACTCTTGGGAAAGATTTTGAGAGTGAAAGATGACCCCAAGGGTCTGCTGGTGCTGTTGATGGGGCTGCTGGTATACTAATGATCCTGGGAGAGGACCAGGGTCTTACATGGGAAGATCTCAACCTCAGTTTTGTACACGTAAGAGTTTGATGTGACAGCCATTGAAGCGTTCAAAGCTTTGGGAAGGAAAAGGGAATTTGAATGAAACAAAGCCTTATAGGCCATGTGAGGGGTGTTCTAAAAGATGGTTAATTAAAAATTAATAATTCCCCTGTATCCAAATAACAATTAGAAAGTGCAACAAAAGTTCACAGTAGTGATAAACGCCAAAATATTGAAAGAATAAAATGAAATAGAAATGTCCGGGTCTTTTAAAAAATACTTTTAAATCCTCACTTATGGGCATTAAAGAAGAACTTAATAAATGGGTAAACAAGCTACACTTAAGAATGGGAATACTCAATATTGAAAAGAGATTTTAAAAATTCATTTTAAATTTATTTATGAAGTCTTTGTTTTTTGTTGTGGTGGGATCACATCCAGAACCTCACACATGCTAGGCAAGCACTCTACCAAGCACCTACTTGGAGGCTGAGGCTAGAGAATACTAAATTCCTGGCCAGTAACTTAACTAGACAATGTCTGAAATATAATTGAAAAGTGGGCTGGGGCTGTAGTTCTGTGGTGGAGTGCTTGCCTAGCATGCTTGAGGCCCAGGTTTCATTCCTCAATATTGCAAACAAAACCAACTCAAAATGCATCATAGACCTAAATGTATGTTTAAGAGCTAAGGAAAGAGTCCGTTCATCAGCTGATGGGCATCTGAACTATTCCTGCTTTTTAGCTATTATCAATAATTGTGTAGTTCTATAGTGTTAAACTCTTAGAGAAAATGTTTTACAAAGCTGCCTTAGACATGACACCAAAAGCACAAACAGCCAAAGAAAGTAGATAAGTTGGACTTAATCAAAAGTAAAACTTCAGTGCTTTAAAGGACACCATTAAGAAAGTAAACAGAAAACCCATAGAATGGGAAAAAATAATGTATTTGATAAAGGCTTTTAGAATACTCTATAGAATAAAAAATTCTCACAACTTTGAATGCCTCAATGGCTGTAACAAAAACAACTCAGTTTGATGTTGAGAAAAGATTGGGGAAAAAAGCCAAAACAAGACAGCTTCTCCCAAGAAGATATACTGGTTAGGAATAAGATGCTCAAAGTATTAAGTCATGAAAGAAGTGCAAATCAAAACCACAGAGATAGAAAACCACAGAAACAGTAACAAGAATGAGGAGCAACTGTCACCCTCACTCCCAGCTGATGGGAATGGCAAGTGGTGCTGAGCTGTGGAAAAAGTCCGGAAAGTCCTTAAAATGTGTAACATACAGTTACCTTATGGTGCCCTCCAGAAGCCGTTTTACTCACTTCTTTGTAATGAAGACAAACAAAACACACATTTCTAAAACAATTTGTACAGGATTATTTATAATAGCCAAAAAGTAAAAACAACCCAATGTCCATCTGCTGATGAATGGGAAAAGAGATTGTGGTGTAGCCATAAAAGGGATCATTCTGCTGGAAAAAGGAATGGAGCACTGATTCATGTGACAAAGTGGGTGGGTGAGCCCGAGAACATTATGCTGAGTGAAAGAAACCAGTCAGAAAAGACCACACAGCACATGATCCTGCACATATGAAATGATCAGAACAGGCAAAGTCTTAGCAACACAAAGTAGCCTATAGTTTGCCCAGGTCTGGAGAGTTGGAGGTTAAATGAGGAGCTGATGGGTGAGGTACGTCTTTTGAAGATAATGACAGTGTTTTAAAATTGATTGTGGTAATAATTATTCAACCCCACAAGTACACTAGAAACCATTGAATTATATACTTTAAATGGGTGAATTGTATATAAATTATATCTAAAAGTTGTTATGCAAAAACAAAGTGGAAAGTTTGTGTAACAGTATATATGAACGCATTTTTGTAAAATAGTGTTTATATAATGTATTCTTATAAATTAGATAAATTTATAAAAAGAGGAAAGTACGTGGTATATCTTCTGTTGACATAGTAAACTAATTGTATAATAGTTCTGGTGACAAGATTGATTGATTAATGATTTTTTGGTGGTATTGGGGATTAAAACCAGGGCTTTTTCCTCACCAGTTTTTACAATATTTTGAGATAGGGTCTAAGTTTCCCAGGCTGGACTCAGTCTTGCAATTCCCTGACCTCAGCCTCCTAGAGTGCTGAGATTACAGGTGTGCACCACCATGCCCAGCTTGTACTAGATTCTTCACACAGATTTTGTCAGTTTTCTTCCATAGTGCTCTGATAATAGCTCCATATTTTCTACTATTTTCCCCTTGTTTGCTATCTTCTAACATACCAAAATTACATTTGCAAAATGGTGTTACTGCCTGGGGTGTAGCTCAATGCTAGAGCTCCCGCTTAGCCTGTGCAAGGCCCCAGCACTTCGTGTTTATTATCAGAACAGCAAAAAAAAAATTTTTCTTTTTTGCTTGCTATTAGTTGCTATAAAGGTAAATAGTTCAAATCTTCATTTGAATTCAGTTTTATAGGATCCTGTGTAGTGTAAGAGCATGTTGATAAATCTCTGTATTTAAAAGTAAGATTTTTAAGTTTTAAAGATTTTAGAATTGTTGTAACTGACTCCCAATTTGCAGAGAAAGCATTTTTTACATAGTTGCTGGTTTTTGTTTAGTATGATACTAAATTTGAAAGACAAATCATTGGCAAAGATAATTTTTGGAATTTTCTTTTCCATTGCAAATACAAGCTAGCTATGTTGGAAACCATGTCCATAAGTACTAACTCCAATATTTTTGTTTGTTTTTAGTATTGTGTGCCAAGAATCTTGCAAAGAAAGACTTCTTCAGTAAGTAAACAACCATTTTTGCTCTATTAAGATTATTTGTGTATTTTTGAAATGTTAAGCTTTCTAAAGAACACTGGTGTATTTTCTTGAAAGTCTTGGAATGAAAATCCATGGTTGGACAGATTTCATTTTCCAGCATCAAGGCTTCCTAGTGAAAGACACAGAATGTTAAAATCCTGTCAAAGCTTGTGTTTCATTCTCCTCTTCAGCTGCACCCTGGTTTTCTTGGTCTCCTATTCAGTATACAGTACTGCTTTCTGCTGGATGAAATATTTTCAACTGAAATGCAAATGAGACATTTGTAAATAAAATAGCTGGTTTGAAAAAAGTTGTTAATCAAATTTTATAAATTAGATCACATTTTAAAAGCTCTCTAATTAAAGGAACTATGAACCTAAATGAACAGTCCTTTTCTGAAGGAAAGAATTGCTCCTTAATATAAGAACTTCACCTGCTATAAAGAAGATGCCTGCAGTGTTAAATTCCTCACACTTTCTGATCCTCCCAAGATCACCGCTCAACTCTTAAGTTGTGCTATTAACACCTTAATGGTGAAGAAATTTAGGCCCAAAGGCTCTACCCAAGTACTTAGGAAGCTCTGGAGAGGTGGCTAACATCCAGCTCTGTCTGTAAAACCTTCACATCTTCCCCCATGCCCGATTCTATAAACCTGTCTGATTCATACTAGCATTTAAGGACTTACTAAATTAAGACTTGATGAATACTATACTTGCTTCTGTAGGTAGGACAGGCAAAGGTCAGCACACAAGATTTCTGGAGACTCCTTGCTGTCTCAGTGAACTCAGGGCCTTTGTACTGAGCTATGTCCCTAGCCCTTTTTTATTTTTTATTTATTTTGAGACAGGGTCTCATTAAGTTATTCAGGCTGGGCTTGAACTTGTGATCCTCCTGCCTCAGGCTCCCAGAGTGCTGGGATTACAGACGTGTGCCACCATGCCAGGAAGACTGCTAGGACCGTAATTTTTTAAAAGTATAAATACAACTAATTAGAGGCACCTTTTTCTTCCATTAATTATCCCCACTTAATAGTGATAATCACAGATAGAAATTCAAATATAAGCCTATTTTTATAAAGCTTTTTGTGTTCTGAAAATTTGACACTACAGTCATACTGGGAGTCTCTCTTAGAAAGCTAAATAGTGGCCAGGAGTGATGGCACACAGCTGTAATGGGTTCCAGCAGAAGCAGGTTCAAGCCCATCCCAGACAACTTAGTGTCTTAGGGAGAGCCTGTCTCAAAGAAGAAGGGGATGTAACTCAGCATGAAGGCTTTGGGACTAGTTTCTAGAACTAAAGGGGAAAAAAGTGCTAAACAGTGATAATTTGCTTTTCCAAGTGAAATTAACCTTAAAGCAGAGAATAAAACATCCCAGGAATAACTGTTCACCATGCTAGATGATCTTGCAGCTTCCTCCATCCCGGATGCTGTGTCTGTGGCTTCCTTGACTGCCCTGTCAGCTCATCTGGGTGTGGCTATCCTCCTTCTCCTAGGACTCCCGGACCCTTTTGCTAAGATTGTTGTGGACGGCTCTGGGCAGTGCCACTCAACCGACACTGTGAAAAACACGTTGGACCCAAAGTGGAATCAGCACTATGATCTGTGAGTTAATGTCCTGTGAACCATATGGGGAGGCTGGGAGAGTAGTTGTCTGGCTTTCAAAAAAAGTGTTTAAGGAAGAAAATAATTGCTAGCTTTTGGTGAAAGCAAAAGTAGATGACCAAACAATTACAGAATTGCCTCCTTGTACAATTTATGTACTTGGAAGTTCTTACATTTGATATTTTCATAGATTTTTAGGGTTTCCTTATGTAGCTGTGATCCCAGACTTTTCAGTGCTTTGGGCATTTTAGCAGAGGAAAAGGCTGTGAGGCTATAGTTCATGTCCCCAGCATACTTTGGTGTTTCAGTAAGACCCTAAGCCCAGTTGTAGTTTTTACCTGAAAAATGTATTATGATGATCACATATTTCTATTGATCTTTAAATATTTGACTTTTAATACAAACATTTTCTTCTGCAGGAGAATATATAGTTTTGTATAATTGAATGTACATAAGCCCACAAATTACTCAATAATTTTATATATTCATTCAGAGAATACATTACACTTTAAAGATCACTATTTTATATACCTATGTGTTTTCATGTCCCTGCTAAGAAATTTCCATCAAAGTAATACTGAATGAATATTGTTTTTTTATTAAAACAAATTATACTATGTACAAGCATAGTGGGATATTTAGTAGCAGTTATATTCTCCTGCTTAGTTTTAGTTCCACTGAGGGTCCAGCTGTGACAGTGTTGGCCATTTCATACCCTGAAAGTCCCTCACTATGGTTCACTTACAGAGAGAGTGAGTAGGGTCTGATGCCTTAGTGAGTGTGCTTTGGATGGACCTGTGAGTTCATATGGAATCCCTTATTACAAGCTAGTATTTTTTGTTGTTAAACTTTATTGATGGGGATGTGTACATATATCACTGTCCTATGGTAATATTAGAATACAATAAGTCTTCTTTACAGATTTTTATTATCATATGGCTATTTCCATTTGCTCATTGCTTAACTTACTGTATTCTAATGCTGCCAGAGGACAGTAATTAGGTGTGTGTTTATTGAAGACCTGTTTGATGTGGGATACTGAGCCAACATTATTTTGTAAGGATTTCTAAGTCAGTCTGATAAATGAGATTATCATAATTCAGAAACACAGTTACACAAAAATTTGCTGTTCCTTTCAGATATGTTGGGAAAACTGATTCTATAACCATCAGCGTGTGGAACCACAAGAAAATTCATAAGAAGCAGGGAGCTGGCTTCCTGGGCTGCGTGCGGCTGCTCTCCAACGCCATCAGCCGGCTAAAAGACACTGGCTGTAAGAACCAAATGCTCCTCTGCCTCTTAATGCAACCGAAGAAAGCTTAGGAGGCACCTTTTTTTTTGAATGCTGAATACAGAATTCCTGCCTTCCTCCCTAGTTCACTTTCCTTGGGTTAAGTTTTGAATTGTTTGTTTGCAGACCAGCGTTTGGATCTATGCAAACTAAATCCCTCAGATACTGATGCAGTTCGTGGCCAAATAGTAGGTAAGGATTTTCTCATCTGTATAAAGGATTCTTTTACAGAACTCATGGGAACATATGTAGGCAGTGGCAGTATGCATACTTCAAAGGACAGGCCACATATGAGTCATCTCTTCACTAAAATGGTTTTTTTTTTTTTTTTTTTTTTGGTACTGGGAATCGAACTCAGGACCTTGTGCTTGCCAGGCAGGTGCTATGCCGCTGAGCTAAATCCCTAGCCCCTCTATTTTTTTTTTTTTTTTTTTTTTTTTTTTTTTTTTTGGTAAAATGGTTTCTTGTGTACAGTTTTTATTATTTTATCTAGTTTCCTTCATCCTAACATTTAAAGTTGAGTTACTGTGACTCTGGTGCAGAAAGACTTAGGGATATGATTTCAAATGTCATTTTAATTATCATATTAATGGACAGTTAATTTGCTATTGTGTTAGGCAAGGATAGATAATGATGGTGGCCACATATGCAAGAGCTTGGATACACTTTTTTTGGGAAAGTGCATGTAAAAAGTAAAGATGATTTCTGATGAATTCTATATAATATAATTTATTGTCTTAGTTACTTTTCTCATTCCTGAGACAAAATGTCCAACACCCACAAGTTAAGGGAGAAAAGGTTTATTTAGCTCACAGTTTGTAGAGGTTTCACTTCATACTTGGCCAGCTCTAAGGCAAGATGGTGTGGCAGAGGGCATTGGAGAGAAGAAACAGTTCCTGGCAGGCAGAAGGTAGCAAAGCAAGCAAAGGACAAGACTACAAGTAATTAACTACAAGATTCTTTCTGTCCCTTAAATTGTATCCACCCTTAAACTAGCATTGCACCATGAATCAATCACATACTGTAGATCCGATCATCTCTGAAAAGCCCCACCTGTAACCACATGAAGTATTAGGGGGACATCTAGACAGAAGCCATAATATTTATAGAGTCAGAGGATCAGATTAAGAAGAGTGAAAAGTTAAAAGTGCTGTTACATAGTGCTGTCTGGAGGTATTGGGAGTGATTTACCTGTTAAGTTACTCATCCTATTGTCCACCCCATTCTTTATCAGTATTTTAGGGTAACACAAATGTTGACAGTATGCTTTGCGAGGCATCAGAGAAAGTGGTGTCACAAAAGCACAGAGAAGTCATTTCCTGACTCAGATTGCTTAGGTATTGTCTTAGGTAAAGTTGACCCAAGACAGGTGAACAGCGTATGTATGTCTTGAAGGCGACATAAGCAAATTATTCTCACTGCCTTTCTCTTTGTGAGTTTTCTTTTCTTTGTGGAGGAATGTGCTAGGGCAAAAAACAAATGAAAACAACTTTACAACTGTCTTTGTTATTCATAGTTCTGTTAGAGCATTGATATTTAGATTGGCCTAGACTTCGTCAATACTGAAAGTGCCCTATGTCATAAGTCACAATCTTCTTAAGAAATAAGGTAATTTAAAAGAATATTAGCTAGGTGTGGTCATGCTTTCCTATTTTCCTAGCACATTGGGAGACTGAGGCAGGACGATCTCAAATTTAAGTCCTACCTGGGCAACTTAGGGAGATAATTGTCTCAAAACAAATAACAACAAAAGACCCACCCAAAACCCTGACTGTCCTGACTGTTGCATTGTGTTACTTTATGCATATCATAAGAAACACAACCCCCTTTCTGCACCACATTTTTAAGGAGTGTTGTAAGTGGTATGTGGTATACACAGCTACTGAGGTGAAATGCTTCATATTGAAGGATGGGTGTGTGCGTGTGCGTGTGTGTCTCCATGTACCTTTTTTATACTATACATAAATTACACAATTTCAATGCATGACTTTACTACAGTGTATAAAATACCACTGGATTTTAACACAAGCCTTTCTTTTTCATTTAGTCAGTTTACAAACACGAGACAGAATAGGCCCTGGAGGGTCAGTGGTGGACTGCAGAGGACTGTTAGAAAATGAAGGGTATGTATGGCCATGGCTTTGCCAGCACAGTGCTTGACTACTCTGGGCTATAAGTAACCTTCCTACCTACGTCTCTCTGCTGGCCACTTGAGATGCATTTGGGGACTTTGGGATAAAATATGCTCCACTTTATTTGTTTATAAAGAAAGCTATGCATAGACTCAGGACCCAACTGAAGAAGGCTCCCATAGGCCTTATGGGACAGTTTGAGGATTAGTAAGAATTACTGACTGCAGGGAACTGAAACACATCAAATATATTTAAAATCCAGGAGTTCATACTAAGGGAGTAAAATCCCTAAAACACTAAAAATAAAAGAGAACCAAAACTTCCGGCCAGGTGTGGTCGCACATGCCTATAATTCGAGCACTTGGGAGGCTGAGGCAGGAGGATCGCTGCAAGTTTGAGGCCAGCGGACTACTGAATGAGTTCAAGGCTAGCCTGAATTGCAGTGAAACCCTGTCTCAAAAGGACCAAAAAAGAAAAAAAAAAAATCTAAAATTTCCTCCACATGATGAATGTAATCATTATGTACTACAAATATGTACTAATAAAAATTTGAAAGAAAAATTCAAAACCTCATTGGTCCCTGTCACAATTCTGCAGTCTTCCATCAGTTAAGTGACCTAGGCAGTGATGAGTAATTGCTAACATCCAGGCATGGTGGGACATGCCTGTAAATCCCAGCACTGTGAGGCAGGAGGATCACATGTTCCAGCCCAGCCTGGACAACTTAGTAGGCAACTGGGCTTATATCTTGGCAGTTATAGAGGAAGAGGAGTGTGTCATCCTCGCCCAAGGGAATGCAGTAAGTGACATCTTGAACAAGACATTCTAAGGGCAGACAACCCTGTGTCTTCAAATAATACAAGAAATAAAAAGGAAGGAAAGAGAAAATGTAAACTAAAAATGAAATAGGCCCGAGAGACGGAGCTACTAAGTCTGCTAAATGCAACATGTGGACTTTGGATTCTGATTGATGAGATAATTGGAGAAATTTGAACTCTGATATTTGATTTTTTTTTTTTCAAAATTCATATACTTCTTTTTAGTTCTGACAATGGGAAGAGTCCTGATCTTTTAGAGATATATGCTGCAATCTTGAGGGATGACGTGATACCAGGTTGGGATTGGTTTCAGAACAGCCCAGTGGAGGGATGGAGAACAGCCAGGGGACCAGTGTTGGAGCTGGTTCACAGGCGAGGGAGAGTCATTGTTCTGGTCTCCAAGTTTCTGAATGTATCTGGAAATTCCCAAATACATCATGTATTCCCAAATACATATGCTTTAAAAGAGCACTTGCTTTGTAATGGAAAACAGCTCCTAAGGTAAGTTGGCTTCAGATTGCTGAGGTGGTAAAGGTTTATGTTTACAAAGTACTTAGTATGGTGTGCTGTGTTACATAACTAGGAATTCTATAGTGTAAAATAACAAGCAAAATGGATTTGATTTTAAATCAAGAGAAATGACATCACATCTCATGCACTCCTTATAGTGCCTAGTTGGGCCCTTCATTTCTAACCTACAGTGGCCCTGTGTGGGTGGCCCTGGCCCATATACACATGAAATGGCACTGAAAATGTGGCTCACTTTGGCCACCTCCTCCTCTTGAAAGAGTCTCTCTTTAATTGTTATGAGTTGAATTTTTTTAAACCAAGCACTCGAACACTCGCAGTAGTTAAACTAGAATGGACACAGGTGGCAGCAGCACCGGGACTGGCAGGTGTGTGGTTTCAAGCGCGCGTCCCGCGGCTCCAGCACCTGCTGTTGTCACCCCTGCTCCCACAGATCTGTATATGAAGACTTGGGGCCTGGGAGGCCGCTTAGCTGCTTCATGGAGGAGCCCGCCCCTTACACGGATGGCACCGGTGCTGCTGCAGGTGGGGGCAACTGCAGGTTTGTGGAATCCCCGAGTCAAGATCAGAGACTCCAGGCACAGCGACTTCGGAACTCTGAGGTCCGAGGTTCACTGCAGATGCCCCAGAACCGGCCGCATGGCCACCAGTCACCGGAGCTGCCTGAAGGCTATGGTGAGCAGCACAGTTTCTGGGAGCTCTGGGTTGTGAGTGCTGTGCAGTCACTTGAACCTGCTTTCACTGCTGGTGCCCGTGTAGCTGTGTAAACATGAGTGCCCGGGAGAGACGCTGACAAATCTGGCTAATTATGAATCCTCAGCAACACCAGCTTTTCAGCTTAGAGATGGTGTAAAAATTAACTTTAGGCACTTTAACCTCAAAGAGAACCCAGGTGAAGGGTAAGTAAGTAGGTAGGGGAATGTGCAGTGGTCTGTCGCTTGAATGTGGGAGGGATAGCAAAGGGCGGGGGCACAAAGAGGGGGCACTTGACCGCTACAGAGAGAAGAGCTGACTGAAGGAGGAATGTAATTTTGGCAGATAATCCCAAAGTGAGAGCAGTCGGGGGTGACACATGTAAGTCAGGTGGGCCTTGAGGTGGTACACGGCATATATGTGTCTCTTTCAGCTCAGAAAAGGCACAAAGTGAGATCTGCCCCAACAGGAGGCAGGGCCATTCTTGAGGAAACCAGGCAGGAGCTAATGGCAGCACCTTCCAGCCCTTCTCTCAGTAACCTTAGTGTTGAAAGGTGTGATCCCAGCTCTTTAAGAGGGCTGGTGTTGGTGCTGGTGTTGAAAGGAAGCTTAGAATCTGTGGAACATCCCTAGAGGGCTGGTTGAAACACCCCATGGCATTGAGCTTATCTAACGGTATCCCCTAATCTCTTGTGCAGAACAGAGAACAACAGTACAGGGGCAAGTTTACTTTTTGCACACACAGACCGGAGTGAGCACTTGGCATGACCCCCGGATACCCAGGTATGTCTCTGAAACACCCTCGGAGCTGGCCTCTAGCAGCTGGCCTGAAAAGCCAGCCCCTTCCTGGTGTGTTGCTCCCAGTTTAAACTGCGAGTACTGGGGAAGGAAATGAGACAAATCTGGGGTGTGCTTCAGATAAGGTGGGATGGGGGAGAGTGGGATGTATTTGAGATAGGATTGACCATGAGCACAATTGGTTATGGAGTAATTCACCGTGGTCTCTCTCTATTTTTTTATATGCTTAAAATTTTCCATAATAATAAGTTAAAAAGGAAATATAAAGACTCTGTTACCCTTTCTCTCTTCTACTTTACTGTCCCTCTTGCCTCAGTCCCTTGGGGACCATTCCTGGGGGAGATGAAGCTTTTCTATACGAATTCCTTCTACAAGGCCATACATCTGAGCCCAGGTCAGAGAGACCCCCGCCCCACCCTATAACAGAATTAAGTTTCTTTTTTTCCTTTGCTTTCTTTTCTTCTCTTTTTTTTAAGAATAGCATTACTACCTCATAAGATTTTTAGTAATGCTCATTTCCTTTTCGTTCATAATTTGTTTCACTTGAGAATAAGCTTCCTGTGTTTGATTTTCCAAGTCTATATTGAATTTATGATTCAGTGTCTATAGTTAGAATGGAAATATTACCTGCAAATGAATGAGGTGTCTCTGTAGTATGCACTGCAAGAAGTGACAAGCTTTTGTGATAATTATGAAAGCATCCTGGTCAGTGACGCTGTATTAAAGTAATTAATCAAGAATCCAGAAGTGAAAACACTTGCTTAGCAGAAGCCAGCTTGGGAAAAGGTCTCATCCTGCTTCAGCTGTTCAGAATGGCGAGTTTTCAAATGCATGTTCTGCATCCCCTTTGGCCTTGAGAACCTGGGGCCCTCTGGGAACTTTTCACTAAAGAAACCATTCTGACCTTGAGAGTTTAATTTGACTTGTGCATTCCAATAGCTCTCCCAGTATTCAAATGCTTACCACTGTCCAGCCCTCTTTCCTGTAAGAAAAGATGTCTAGGAGTAAGCCTTGGCTTAGGATGGTTATCAGCTCAGGAAGTTCCATTGTGATCTTTTGGGTGTTGCTGCTATTTGCAGCACAGAGGCCTGGCCTCGGAGAGGTTTGGCGTAAGTAGCACCCTGACTGTCCTCCTCAGCAGAGCGGGGGACATAGACACCTTGATAGAGACCCCCGTGGCTCTGAGGTATTGATCCTATTCCTCCAAATTCAGTTGGATAAACCTCTCTGTACCTTTCGTTTTGGTAGAGACCTTAACAGTGTGAACTGCGATGAACTTGGACCACTGCCACCAGGTTGGGAAGTCCGAAGTACAGTTTCTGGGAGAATATATTTTGTAGACCATAATAACCGAACAACTCAGTTTACAGACCCAAGGTTACATCATATCATGAAGTAAGACTTTGAAAGAAATCTTTGTTGACCTCTTCCATTTAATTTTTTTCTTGAATGTTTTCTTGAATCTTACTATTTTCCTACTTCATTTATTGCCTTGTCTATTGGGTAGTAAGCATGAGCAAAACAAACTACATATTTGGCAGACAGTTACGTGTTTTAAACTCTTAAAGCAATGTGAACATTACTGAGACTGGATGTCGCTGCTGCCCTTTTCTATACTTGCAGCGTAAGTTAAAGTCACCCAGATGGCGGTGTGAAGCAGCTTCATGAGTGAGGCTTCTGTACGCAGCATTAATGTGGCTTTTCCTGTGAGCACTGCTGGTTCTAGAGGGACCTGCTGGTGCCCTCTGCCCTTGTCATTCCTTAGCCTGGAACTGGGAATGATCTTCACTCCCATGACCCATGTTCTTCGTTTGTTGTGTTTTCAGGTCAGAACATCCCACATGGCTATTCTAAGTGACAGCTGATATCGAGGGCCAGCTTGAACAAGGCAAATGCCCCTTTGTCTTTGTACTGGTCCTAGTCCTTTTATTGTACTGATATTTTACATTTAATGAGTGGGCTTAGGAGTCTGTTGGTGACCAAAACAAGAAATGGTCACCACCAGATTTCACTTGAGGTGTCGGCTCTAATATATCACCTCCTTCCATTATGGAAAAAAAGAGTTTCCATCAACTTCATTTTATGTCACAATATGCTGTTCAGTCTCATCAGTGTGTAATAGATGCTGAGTAAATGATAGCAACTTTTATTTTACTTGTGATAATAATAATGTATGTGACAGGTGGTTGCTTGGAATTGGAGCTCTCCCACAATACCCTAGACCTGTATCTAGGCTGATGGCTTCCATCGATAATTGCTACCTGTCTAGGTGCAGTTATAGGGGGCCGGGATTGAGCTCTCTTCTGAGCCACTGTTGCAAGCAGGCTCTGCCTGTAGCTCTTCGGCCGGTGCTTGCAGAGTGACTTGGCTGTTTCTCCTTCCCACTAGTCACCAGTGCCAACTCAAGGAGCCCAGTCAGCCGCTGCCTCTGCCCAGCGAAGGCTCTGTGGAAGATGAAGAGCTTCCTGCCCAGAGATATGAAAGAGATTTGGTCCAGAAACTGAAAGTCCTTAGACATGAACTGTCACTTCAGCAACCCCAGGCTGGGCACTGCCGCATCGAGGTTTCCAGAGAAGAAATATTTGAGGTATAAATGTGTCAGTCGGGCATAGACTCTCCAGCACTGAGGGTAAACAGCCGGGGCGACTGTGGGCTCCTTTATTGTCAGTACCTTGCCCTGATGGTGTTTCCTTCTCTGGTGAGCCCTGTCTGCTGCAGGTGTTAATGGGTATTTAGGGTGTGGACCTGATGACTCTGGGAAATGCAGGTTTATCGGGACCAAGGTGCAGGTAGAGACAAGAAACTGTATTTCCTTTTGTGCCAACAGTTTAAAAACTAGACAGTGTCTGACATGAAAACCTAAAGATTTGGGAAGGAAATGGTACTGTCTCTGCCTTGTGCAGATTGCGTGTTTCTCAGAACTGTGTCCCCCGCCTACAGGGTGACAAGGGAGATACCTGCGTGGGATTCCATCAAAAGCATTTCCTTCTCAGGGAAGCCAGAGGCTGCATAGGCTGTGGTCTCTGCTGAGAGCAGGGAGAGCAGATCCTGGTAGGGCCCAGTGCCTAATGCAGCTGCCCCGCAGGATAGGGGTCTTTACATAGAATGGACCCTTTGCTAAAGAAAGATGATGCCAGGTGACAGCTCAGAGGTCTTTGCCACCTGCACCCTCTTGTGTGGAGACATCTACAGAAGGTGCCAAATGAGGCTGAATATGGTGGCACACACCTGTAATCCCAGCCTTCGGGAAGCTGACCTGGTGGAGGACTGCAGGTTCAAGCCAGCCTGGGCAAGTTAGTGACGGAGCAAGACCCTGTCTCAAAATTAAAAAATAAAAAAGGTTAGGGATATAGCTCAGTGCAGAGGCCCTGGGTTTAATGTCTTGTACCTGGAGGAAAAAAAAAATTACCAAAGTTATCCCTAGGAAGCAGATAGCTGTGGCCCCTGAGGGTGGTTCTAGAGGGTAAGGCCTCTGCACAGGGTGCCGAACCCCTTCTCTACAGAAGGGCACAGGCAGAGGCAACCCCGGCCGGTCAGGCACAGTAGCACTGAATGGGCGGGGTGTCTGCAGCCTGGTCTTACCCACAGAGCAGTCTTTAACAGTTGGCAGAGATGGAAAAGACTTGAACTGTTGCTGCCAGATCAGTTCCACTAGCATCCCTATTTCCTCCTGGGATGGGAGAGTTGGAACTGCATTAACTTTGAAACATGAAAAGTTTTCTTGAGTGTCCCATCACTGCAAATAACTACAAACAGCTACTGCCGCCTGGAATGCCGAGTCTAAGGGAATGCCAGACCTGCCACCTGTGTCCTGTGCTTTGCCCAAGCTACTTGATGTCTCATGTAGGCCCTTTTTGGCTTTTTGACTCAGTGGGAAATCAGATGTGATTTTTCAGTTTAGCTATTAAAATAGGCTCAGAATTTTTGAAACACTCAGATTCTAATGATGTCTTCATTTTTGGTTAAAAACTTGTTTGTGGGGCATATTAAAGTTAATTTATATAGAGAAAATCAACCGTAATGAGGACTGTGTCCTTATGTCCTTGGTGGTTGTGCTGAACACGTATTTACATGTTTCCTTCCAGATTAGCATGACCTGAATTGTACCTGTCTTGCTGTCATCTCTGAAGGAGAAGTTACAGGGAAATACGTGATGCAGTGTACTAGATACAGGGTCAGGCTGGAGTAGGAGCCAGATGAAATTTGCATTTGAGTGAATGCTTATTTTTAATCAGTATGTTATCAGCAGCCTTTAATCTTTTTGTAAGTTTAAGAAAAAGAAACATCCTTCTCTCTGATGGTATCATTTTAATGTGTAGGAGTCTTACCGTCAGATCATGAAGATGCGACCAAAAGACCTGAAGAAGCGGCTGATGGTGAAATTCCGAGGAGAGGAGGGTCTGGACTACGGCGGCGTGGCGCGGTGAGGAGCCGTTTACCCTTCCCTTCTGTGCTGTGTGCGTTTAGCATGGCTGTGGCTGTGTTTGCAGAGGGGGTTGTGTGCCCCTTGCTGCCTAAGTGCTGCTCCCCAGGCACCGGCACCGTGGGCAGTTAGGATGTCGTGCAGGATGCCGTGCACTGGCTTTGGCTTGCATCTTGCTGTAACCCATGAACATGATGGTGACTGTCACTGTGCTTTTCCTTTTTTTTTTTTTTTCTTTTTTTTTCTTTCTGATACTGGAGAGTGAACCCAGGACCTTGGCACTAGGGCCCCTCTTTTGAGACAGGATCTCTCTAAGTTACCCAGGCCGGGCTCACACTTGCAGTCCTGCCTCAGCCTCCCAGAGTGCTGAGAACATGGGTATTGGCCAGCTGTGTTTACTTTTTGTAGCTAGAGTTAAACTTTGAAACTGGCCCCTTCTTCCTCTCACATGCCTGAACGTGCAACACGAAAGCCCTGCTCCTGAAGCAGATAGGAAGTGGCCTGGCCTTCCCATCACAGGATCTTCAGTCAGGAAGGGGAGGGGATATGTAAATTGCATTTGTAGCTAAGAAATTCTGTAAAATACAGTTTTGAAATTTTGGTCAAGGGGCTGGGGATTTAGCTCAGTGGCACAGCGCCTGCCTGGCAAGCGCAAGGTTGTGAGTTCGATTCCTGGTACGGGGGGCGGGGCATGAGGAGAAGAAATTTTGGTCAAAATAACTTAAGCAAATAATTTTAAAAATAGAATAGATTAGATTGCTAAACTGCCCAGACTGGGCTCAAACTTGTGATCCTCCTGCCTCAGCCTCCCAGAGTGCTAGGATTAGGGGGATGTGCTACCATGCCTGGCTTCATTGAATCTTTTTATATCCCCCTCCTTGTGCCTTTCTGGCACGTGGCTTCTTCATGGAGCCTTTGTCCTCTGGTGATTCTCCAGCCCTTCTTCCACCCAGTGGTCATCGGGAGCCAGTACTGACCTGATCCACAGTTCTGTGGGTTCCTAGCTCCCTCTTTCTTGGATTATTCCCTTGTGTAAGGGGCTGTGTTACGTGATTTTCCTCTGCTTGCCTGCCTCTCCTAACAGACATAAATTGCTTCACTGAATAGGCAGTTTGTTTTGCTCACACCCATAGCTCCTAGAACAGCACCTCATACACAGTGAGGGTTCATCTTCGTAGTATCTGCTGAAGGAAGGATTTTCCCTGCCTGTTTCCTCTCTGCATCTTACTTTGGTCTTTTTGAAATTCCTATGATTCAAATATTGGATCCTCTGTGTTTCTCTCTCTGTATATATATATATATATTTTTTAGTTTTCCATCTCTTTCTCTTTTCCCCTCTTCCCTACTTTCTATAAGATTCCTAGTGTTCCAAAAATATTTTTAGTTTTGTTTTTTAAATCACCATATTTATTGAATTCCATTATAATAAAATATAAAACGAAAGGACAACCAGCTGAGGTGGTACACGCCTGTTATCCCAGCACTCAGGAGGCTGAGGCAGGAGAATCACTGTGAGTTCGAGGCCAACCTGGGCTACATAGCAAGACCCTATCTTAAAAAAAAAAAAAAAAAAGTGAAAGAACTAAGATTTTTTTTTTTTTTGTCTTTTTTTGGCCTTTTTTTGAGACAGGGTCTCAGTATACAGTTCAGGCTGGCCTTCAGCTCACTTTGCAGCCCAGGTTTGTCTTGAACTCTCAACGATCCTCCTGCCTCAGCCTCCCAAATGCTAGGATTACAGGCATGTGCCACCACGCCCGGCGAAAGAACTAAGATAAACTAATGTATTTGCTACATGATTGAATCTTCTCACAGGAGCATGCTCCTGTAATTTGCATGTCCCTACAGGAATTGTATTTATTCACTATCAACACCACGCGATCAGCTGGGCATGGTAGCATACACCTGGGTGGCTGAGGCAGGAGTATCATAAGTTCAACCCCAGCCCAAGCAACTTAGTGAGACCCTAACTCATAAATGAATAAGTAAATAAATAAGGGCTAGCGATATAACTCAGTGTGGGACCCTGGGATCAATCCCTAGTACTACAACAAAACAAAATGACTGCATCATAAGGTCCTAGGAATACAATAGCCAAATAACATTCTCTGCCCCTATATCCTCCTACCTCAGGCAAAAGACTTCTCAGTCTGATGAGGTCAGGTGTTAATCAAAGAATTATGCAAAGTAAATTTAAACCCATAGCTCCAGTAGGTGCTACAGAGGAGCCTGTGGTTTCTCTGACAATTTGTTGTAGTAGTGGCCCAGTCTGAGGAAGTCAGGGTGGGAGAGCCTTATACCTCTGCCATTTTTTGATTAGACCATTTTAGTCTGATCATTTTTTGTGTGTTTTCCAATTTTCTTAGATCATTTTTATTTGGCTTATCCTCCTATCTTGGTTACTTTTCACATTGCTGAGACAAAATACTCAACACTCACAGTTAAAGAAGGAAAGGTTTATTCTAGCGCACAGTTGGTAGAGGTTTCAGTCCATGGTTGGCCGGCTCCAAGGCGAGGTGTGTGGCAGAGGGCATCACAGAGGAGAAACAGCAGGCAGGAGGCAGCACAGCTGCAGAAACAGCCCCAGCAGCAGCCGGCCCTCTTCTGTCCCTTTATATTCTGTCCGGGTTTCCCGCCTCTGGGAGTGGCACCCACACCCAGGGTAGGGTGCCCTTAATCCCGGCATCACAGCCTGGATCCTGCCAGCTCTGAGAAGCCCCACCTGTGAGTGCATGAGGCTTTGGGGGGGCATCTAGATAGAAGCCAGAGCACCTCCCCTGTTTGGTTTCATTGCTGTAATTTTCTGTTTAACAGAGTAAGAAATTCCAGAATAAAACATAAGGCTGCTTTCCATGAGTTTTACATATTTAGAAAATGTTTTGAGTAAGAGGATGGAAGGTTGTGGGCCCATGAAAGAGGTCTGCAGGGGGACGGCCCCCCCTCCACCGCACCCCAAGCACATAGCCCGACTAGCAGATGAGTTGGACCAGCAGATGAGTTGTACCGTTTCTATCTGAAGTGGTTTTTTGTTGTTGTTGTTTGGCTGGTTTAGATTTTGCAGTTTTTAAGGAAATAATAAAATGATGCAAACAGTAAAAGAATTCATAAAATCATACAGTTATACTTGTATCCCCTCTGGAATTAGAAACTCGTAGAATTACTATTTTAAAAATTTAAGTTTTATTTTGTTGTTGTTGTTTTTGTTTTGTGGTGCTAGGGATGAACCACGGACTTTCACACTGAGCTACATCCTCAGCTGTGTTTAGTTTTTTAATTTTAGACAGAATCTTGCTAAAATGTCCCAGCTTGGGCTTCAAATTCAGATCCTCCTGCTTAGTCTTCTAGAGTGCTGAGATTCCAAGCATGCGCCACCATGCCGGACTTAAACTAGTTTTTAAATTACAAAAGTGATAAATGTGTATACGAAGAAGTAAGAGTTGAGCAGAAATTTATGAAGGGGAGAAGTCAATGTTAAACAGTCTCCCTCCTCTGTTTCTCTAGAGTTTGAAGTACACTCTTTATAAGGAGACATTTTATTTCAGAAGATTTTGAAACCAGACATAACTGAAAGAAACATGAAAGTGACCCAGAATAATAGTGAAGTTGCCTGTTGTTCAAGAGGAGGCACTTATGTCGGTTAATATCGCCTCACCCACATGTGTGACCCTGAGGTTTTGGCCTTTGCCAAGTTTTGAGGCAACCTCAGGTGAGAGGCAGCCAGACTAGCAAACGACCTGCAGAGAACACAGGTCATTTGCCAGTTTTCTTAGCTGCAGGGTTGTTGGGGCTGTGCTCACTTTGTGGTGAGGGGTGATGTTTGGTATTCATGAGCTGTTTTGGGTGCTCTCTGGACACTGCATTTCATTGTTGGCCCCATCTGTGTGCATCGTGCCCTCCAGAGCAGACGTCCTATCCAGTCACTCCTTCCCTGTTGTATGTGTTTGGCCTCCTAGGGCAAGAGCGAAATGGTCTTTTTTGCAAAGATCTAGGCACAGAACTCTTAGCACATATGAGCTTTGTTGTTGTTGTTCCTAGGGAGTGGCTTTATTTGTTATGCCATGAAATGCTGAACCCATATTATGGACTCTTCCAGTACTCCACGGACAACATTTACATGTTGCAAATCAACCCAGATTCTTCAATTAACCCTGTAAGTATGCATAAGGAGGTTGGGGGTTTAGCTGGGAGTCTTCAAGGTGCATTTTCAGTGTCAGTCCTGGGTTTTGGATTATTCGATGTAGAGATAGAGACCACAGTAAGCACAGTCCTGAAAGGCAGACTCCAGGGAGTGGCGTGTTCAAGCAGAGCATGGGAAAATGGAGCTGCTCATGTACCAGGATACTTCCCTGCCATCTGAGGGAACACGGTCTGGTGGCTGCATTTGTTGGGGGTTTCACTCTGAGAAGTGGGTTACAAAGTCCAGCCTCCTGGGCAAGGTGGGCACATTTCCATCAGCCTGTGTGGCCACACAAGCTGACACTCTCAGCATGCACAGTGCTTGAGACACAGTGCGTGGCTGAGCCATGGGTCCTGCGGGGCCATGTCCTTCAGCAGCTCAGTCACAAGGCCACCAAGGTGAAGTCAGGGAGCATTCAAGTGTGGAAGGGCCTTCAGTTAGCTTAGAAGTGAAGTTTTGACAAATTTTCTGAGCTGATTGTAACTCAGACCTGAAAGTACAAATGTGAGGTTTCCTGGTTAAAAATGGGAACAGTCTAGCCCTGGTTTTAGACCGTTTCTTTTACCCTTTTCTCAGTTTTTCTTCGTGTGGTGCTGGGATAGAACCCAGAATGTCTCGGATGCTAGGCAGATAGTCTGCCACAGAGCCACACTCCCAGCGTCCTTGTACTTTTTCACTTGGCTCATTCATACTTACTTTCCTCTGTGCCCCAATAGCACAGTGGGTGCGTAGCAGAGGAATAAGGAGGATGGCTTGTGGCTTTCCTTTTGAGCAGAATGGGAAGGAAAGGCAGCGTTTGTGCACAGGGCTCTGCTTGGCTGATTCTCAGCTGTCACCATGTTGAAATTGTCAGTTTCTAAAAAAGAGTCTCTGCATTTTCATTTTGCCGTTGGACCCCTGTAAATTATGTGGCAATTCTGAGGAAAAAGTGTTAGGCCTGAACGTATAAGACATCCTGCTAATCCACATGAAAGACATGCTCTAAATTTCAGCTCCCTAAGCAGCCTTATTCCATCAGGCCATTAATGTGACCTGCAAGCAACCCGGCAGTGCTGGCAGCTCACAGGACAACCTCGTAGGAAGCGGAGCACTGCGTAAGCTGCTCATTTCCTAATTCATGTTCTCTGCTGCCCCCTACAGGACCATCTGTCTTACTTCCACTTTGTGGGTCGGATCATGGGTCTGGCTGTGTTCCATGGACACTATATAAATGGGGGCTTCACGGTTCCCTTCTACAAGCAGCTTCTTGGGAAGCCCATCCAACTGTCTGACCTTGAGTCAGTGGACCCTGAACTGCATAAGAGCCTGGTGTGGATTCTGTAAGTATCAGCTCACGTTCAGCTACCTGAAGACTCACACCAGGCCTTGGCTTGGAGCGTGGCTGAGTCTGTGTGTGTGTGCCTGCATATGTGTGTATTTTGGAAGGAAATCAGGACAGTATTATGTTACAAGAAATCACAGATTTAGCGAAATTATTAAACTGACTTACATTTCTCATGACATTTGGCCAGTTTCTCCTCATGGGCTAGTTTCTTTCATTGTTTCCTTGAGTTGTGATGGTCTGATTACAAATGTCAGTGGCTAGTCCCAGCTTGGGGCGTGTGTGGTGGGGGAAGAAAGACACCCCACAGTGTCTCCCATTAATCTGTAGAGGGGCCAAGAAAGTATCAAAACAAAGTGAGCATTTAGTCCCTTTAGCATAGACACTGTCGTGAGAGCGGCAAGACAGACACTGCTGTGGAGCTGACAGTGCCTCTTTGGGTTTTGTTTTTCTGCTTTTTTTTTTTTTTTTTTTTTTTTTGGTTTTTCTCCGGTACCAGGAACCGAACTCACGACCTTGCGCCTGCCAGGCAGGCGCTTTTGCCGCTGAGCTAAATCCCCAGCCCCTTCTTCCTGGGCTTTACATGCTCCACTTGGAAGTTTCCAAGCCAGGAGCCAGAGTTGCCTGCTACTGGGAATCTTCCCCTCTCTGTCTTAAGAAACAGAGCAGATCAAACAGCCAGAGTTGGCTCCTGGGCGCTTTTGTATGTTTTTTTTTGTTTTTTTTTTTTGTTGTTGTTGTTGTTTTTTCCGGTACCGGGGATCGAACTCATGACCTCACACTTGCCAGGCAGGTGCTTATGCCACTGAGCTATATCCCCAGCCCCTTGTATGGGAATGGCTATGTTTGAAAAGGCTGCCTTGAAAGAGGGGAGCACCATGTTGCCAGTGTGGCCTCCTCAGGGTGCAGTGCCTTTGACCCAGCCCCGTCCTCTCACCCTTCTCACCCATGCTCAGGGCACAAAGCAGTTAGGGTTTGTGTCTCATACAATTGGAGAGCGGTGGAGCAACGTGCTACCTTCCCATACACGAGAAAGCCCAGAGTCGAGGATGCAGGAACTACAGCTGTGCTTTCAGGCCCATTCAACACCAGCACTGCAGGCCCTGCCCGACTCCTGTGTACAGAGCTCTCGCCTCTGTTCCTTTCTGCTGGACTGGTGGTGACACAGGTGTAATGCGAACGTGTCTCTGTCTTCTTTGGCAGAGAGAATGACATCACACCTGTGCTGGATCACACATTCTGTGTTGAGCACAACGCTTTTGGAAGGATTCTTCAGCATGAGCTAAAACCCAATGGCAGAAACGTACCCGTCACTGAGGAGAATAAGAAGGAATATGTTCGGTAAAGTCCAGGGCACGCCTTGGGGTGGCCTGGGTGCAGCTGGGTTCGTGTTCGGATTGGCGTAGCTTCCTGCGTGAGGCTACCTGTCTCTAAAGGCGCTTGTGACTGGAATCATGCCAACAGAGGCAACTTGTAATTAAGAGTCGGGCGTGGCATATGCCCGGGGTGCAGCTCTGACAGAGCCCAGGCCAGGAAGCACTGCACGTGGCCACCTGATTCTGGGGCAGGGGGCGAGCCCAGCGAGAGCAGCGGGCACAAAGGCTTCCTGCTGCCAGTCCGCAGGAGTCCTCTCCGGGGTCATGGGTCCACTTCTTGCTTGAGGCAAACCAGCACAGGTAGCCAACCAGTCACTGGCATTGGAGGTTCAGAAATGTGGGCATGTGTGCGCTCAGACTGAGGCGCAGTTCTCTCACTGCCCTTTATTTTACTTCCAAGTGGGTTTTTAAATTACAGCACTTGATCTAGCAGGCCAAGTTAAATCCTACTGCTGGTTTAATAAAGATCCAGAGTATATAGGGGAACACGCTGGGGTTTTTGCTTTGGTTTTGTTTGGCTTTTCGGTGCTAGAGATTGAACCTAGGGCCTGCACACTGAGCTACCTCCCCAACCCAATCTTTAGAGACAGGCTTTTGCTAAGTTGCTCAGACTGGGCTGGAACTTTCGATCCCCCTGCCTCATTTTAATTCAGTATTAAGATGGGTGCTTCAGCTAGTGGGAGTTGTGTCTTTCTGTCTTAGTGGGGAGGGAGCTGACTGCACTGTTGAACCCAAGCCCGCTGCCGGAGGCAAATAGTTTCTCTGTGATGCATTTGGTATTGTTTCCAACATACGGCCTTTTCTTTCAGGTTGTATGTAAACTGGAGGTTTATGAGAGGAATTGAAGCCCAGTTCCTAGCACTTCAGAAGGGGTTTAATGAACTCATCCCTCAGCATTTACTGAAGCCCTTTGACCAGAAGGAGTTAGAGGTAGGTGCTCGGCACTAGGCCACCAGCGCTACAGGAAGCTCAGCTGTGTCACACAAGGACAGAGTCTGGGCACAGGGGGAGCTGAGGGTGTCTGTGCTGTTTTGTCACCAGTGAGGTGTCCCCTTGGCAGCAGGAAATCACTTCAAGGATTTGTGCCTTAATGTTCATGTATATTCCAGTCCTGCTTGCTTATTTTGGCTACCAGTAGACTGAGAACCAAGTGTTACCGTCTCCTCTGATCACATTTCCTGGGCTTGGGCACCCGGTTGTCAGTCTGGTGCCCAAAGGCCCATCCACACCTTCCAATTGTCTTATAGATGCCTCGAGCTCAGAGCACTTGGGTGGGAGGACCCCCACCCTGAGTACGGGGAATTGAACCCAGGGCCTTTGCACTGAGCTGCATCTCCAGCCCTGCTACGTTATAGAGACAAGGTCTTGTTAAGTAGCCCAGCCTAGGCTTGAACTTTTGATCTTTTTGCCTCAACTTCCCAGAGTCCTGGGATTACTAGAGTGTGCCAGCACACTCCATTAAGCTTTTTAAACAAGTAGGGAAACATGTCCTGTGTACCCAGGCTCTGCATAACTTGCTGAGGTCTCATCCCATCACATTGTGCCCTCCTTGTTTGTCCTGAAGGGAGGCCTGGCTGTGGCCTTAGTTACTCTCAACTCTGTTCAGTTTTGCCTGTTGGTCTTTGGATATTGACCCCTCAGCACTGCACAGCAGAAGCAGGGCTTTGGTTCCCCGCTGGTGCCATGCAGTAGCTGTGCACTGTAGTCCTCGGAGCTGAACATCACCCAAGAAAGATCGAACATAGGTTTGGACTCCTCTCTGTGCAGCTTCTTCCCGTCTAAGCATCGGTCAGGCAGCTTTGGACAAAGCCTATTCCTGGCTTTGGGCACCAAGTCTTTTAATTCCTGTGCATCACACAGTGGCTTCTGCCTTTTGGCAATAACCCCCTGCTGTGCCTTCTCAGTTGATAATAGGTGGCCTGGACAAGATCGATCTGAATGACTGGAAATCCAACACACGTCTGAAGCACTGTGTGGCAGACAGCAACATCGTCAGGTGGTTCTGGCAGGCGGTAGAAACTTTCGATGAAGAGAGGAGAGCCAGGCTTCTGCAGTTTGTGACCGGCTCCACACGAGTCCCTCTCCAAGGATTCAAGGCTCTACAAGGTGACTGACGTGGTAGCAGGGCTAGTCCCCAAGGCGTGCTACACTGCGTGTGCTCTGACTAGGCTGTGGTAGGGAGAGCCCGAGTCTTTGGTGGTGGTTGAGATGTGCACTAGAAAACAGTGCCGCCAGTACTGTCTTATAACGGAGGCCCAGCACGGTGGAGCTGCAGGCCAGGCAGGTGGCAGTCCCCACTGAGCACAGTGTCCCCACGGTGGAGCCGCTCCAGGGCACATGGGTCCCATGTCCCCACCGCTTCCAAAAAGCGTGGATGGTTGCACTGGCAGGGGCCACTGAGCTGTCTGGTAAGGCCCTGGTGTTCTCTGTCTGCAGAGAACCCGGGACACCACTCCAGGGAGAAGATGAAGGGAGCCACCTGCAGATTTGGTGGCTATATTCGGAATATTCACTAGGAATATTCAGTAGGACTTTTGAGAACTGCCCAAGGGAAGGGGCCATGGTGGTTTCTGCCTGTAGAGTTCTACAAGGCCCAGTGCCAGCGTAGAGGCACCTGGGTCTCTGCCTGCTCGCCCAACATGGTGGTCACATTGCCTCCTTCAACTAATACCTACAGAGTGAGCTGAGCGGGCGCTCTATTCCCACTGAGGTCCTAGGATTGATTTTTCCCTCCAAGGAAATAGTGAGGTGGTAAGCAAGGGCAGAATTCTGATGATACTGTGACCCCAGGCTTTGCTTTCCTGTTTCATTGATGAGCCACACAGCAGGCCTACTTGCACAGTTCCCTGTTGCTATAGGGATCTTACATATCCTCTTTAATCGGATGGAATTGGGATCCACGTCCCCACTGTAGGTACAAGAGAGGGCAGCCCAGACATGGCTCGGGTGTGATCTGGGTCCATGATAGGGTCCTTGGTCCGGACAGAGTGCCTGATGCTATGGTGGAGAATGTGAGCACTGCTCGCTGCAGGGATCCAGCGTCGAGAGTCCAGCACAGCCAGCCCGCTCAGGAGATGGACCCAGGAGAGGGTAGAGCTGCCCAGGCTCCCACTGTGGCTGAGGGGACCATATCCTCCTCCCCGGGGCCATGGGGACCTCTTCCCTCATGAAGGTGGTGAGCTATTGCTATCATCACTACGGCCTCCGTACTGCTGCTCCAGGCACTGCTGGTCATTGCCCCTCTGGAAGGAGCCAGCGCACGCACAGGAGCGAATGGCACCAAAATGGAAGCCAGTGGCCTCTACAGTCATGTCCAGAAGAACATCAGTTGCAGGCGGGTGTCCTGGTTTGTGGCAGCAGCTGTGGCCGGTACTGGCCAGCATGGTGCCACTTGAGGTTGAGAAAGACCTGAGCAAGGAAGGACCCGGGGTTTGTTGGTGAGCGCTCTGTTTGAAGGGTGGCTACAGAGATTTCACCTTCAGTACCCCCACAGCTGCTCAGTCTGGGGCATGTGGGGACCTTCTCAGAAGCCTGTTCTGCCCGAGTCCTCTGAAATGTCGCATTTCTACACTGGGTGCCACTGCAGCCATGCAGCCGTCTAGCAGGGCACTGTGCCTGGCGTGGGGGCTCTGCCTCTGAGGCGCATTGACTAGAATGTTGTCTTGCAAGGTTCTACAGGCGCGGCAGGGCCCCGGCTCTTCACCATCCACCTGATAGATGCAAACACAGACAACCTGCCCAAGGCCCACACCTGGTAAGAGTGCTGGCGGGTGATACTGGGTCCTGGGAGGGGCCGGAGCACTGGTCTGCTTTGTTGTTTCAGCTGCTTTCTTCTTTGTAGGACCATGTTTCATTTATGCAGGGCTCAGATAATGCCAGCAAGAGCATTTGTGTCAATGGGGCATTTATGTGAGGGTTGTTGGAAGACTGTTAGAAAATTGATCTATTGTGACGCATATAACTGATCGGTGTTGATGTTCTGGTGACACTTGTGGTCACCACTGCACAAGCCCATGTCTTCCTCCTTGCTGGGCCTCTGGGAATCTCTGTGCATGTGTACACCTACCAAAAGGCAAAACTGTAAATTTGAATTTGGATTTATTGGTCTTTACTTTAACATTTCCAGGGCTCCATTTTCCTTCTTGAAACTGCCTATGAGATAGCCCTTTTTGAAAAATGTTTTTTTCCTAAATTTTAGCTCAAAAATGAATATGAGCAGTGGTTTAAAGGTCTCCTCCAGGTGTATACTTTGTCTCAGGACCACTGGCTTCTCCTTCAGGAGACAGGTTCCGAATGTCGCTGGGAAGCTGACCCAGGGGCGCGGATGCAAGTGCTGCTGTAACGCCCTCCAGTGATGGGCTTCGGAGCCCGTCCCTGCGTATTCTAACTAGGTGTCACATCCGGGAAACAGGCTAATGTGGCTATTCCTAGGACCCTTGGGCGACAGGAAAGCCCTGCCCCAGTGCGGTAGTGTCGTCTTTTTACAGGAACCTGCCATGTTGACACATGCTGATGCCTTCCTCAGAAGGCTTCTGTCCTTTAATAGTTCAGTACTTAACATAAGAGATGAGAAAAATACCCTCTGACATTGAAGTAGCAGTAAAAAAGGGCGCCACTCCACCAAACCCCATGACTTCATGATAATGCTATCCCTAAGTGTTGAGCCCCAGTAATTCACAGGCCACCGTGTCCTGTGGGTCACGGTTCTGTGTTAGGATAGTAGCTTTCTAAACAATGTCTTTTACTTACATAAATATTGAAAGTGAATTTCCCATGGAAGTATTGAGTCAGAGGTTTAACATTCATTTCATCTTTCAGGGATTTGGCACTTTATTGAAAGGTTTGAGATATAATGTGTTTTTGCAGGGAACTTTCCAGACATTTGGGGCTCAGATCAAATCCCAAAGGAACAGACAAGTCAGCAAGGACTTGGCTGATGGCCAGTCTAGATTCCAGGGGTCAGCAAAGGGGTGTTCCTGGTAAGGAAAAATAATTCTTCCCAAAGACAAAAAAAAAAAAAATTATGAGCTTTGTCCTCATAGAAACAGTCTTAAGCAGTAATTTATGGTTTAGTTTTGAAGGTCTTGAGATGTATTTTGCTATGGGTTGACTGAAAAAGCTTTACCTTAGAAGCAGTAAAACGCCAAGAGGTGGGAAACTCACTATCTGCCCCACCCCCACCCCGTCCCCGCAGCGGGCGATGAGATTTCATGCGCCCATACTCGCTGCTAGCTTGTCTCCTGCCTGGCCGTGACCTGGCAGGCAGCCCAAGAGCTTGTCCCCAGCACTGACTGATTCCTTTGTCCTTTTCCAGCTTTAACCGGATCGACATCCCACCTTATGAATCCTATGAGAAGCTCTACGAGAAGCTGCTGACCGCAGTGGAGGAAACTTGTGGCTTTGCCGTGGAGTGAAGAGCAGCTCAAGACAGCAGAATCTCACTCATGACCACCAGACCAAAAGCATATAGCTTCTGTGTGCCTCCTGCAAAGCTGGCCGAGGCCCGGAACTCCAGAAAACCCGAGGGAAAAGGCTTTTCTCCCTCCTTCCTTGGCAGAAGGAGGGGGCAGGGGACTTTAGTAGGTGGCTCCCACCCATCTATCCCTCTTTATAATAGTTCTCCCACCTCCTCCATCACCCATCCAATAAAACACAGCCAGTTTCCGCCCTTGGCCTCAGTCACACGTGGTGGAAAGGCTCACGGCCCTGTGCTCTTTATAGGAGCTTGTACCACAGTTAGGGGTGAGCTGGGCCCGCCGAGGGTTTGCACGATCATTATACCAGCTGTCCCCTCTCAGTGCGCCTTTTCAAGTTCAGCAGCTGCTGGATTTTACTAGAGCTGAGATTCCAAATCTTATATCCTAGCAGCCTGTTCTGGGTGGCGGATTAATGTCTAACTGAAAAATGACTACATAGTGTATGCTTATTGGAATTGTGCCACAGCAGGAAGCCTGAGTCCAAATGTGTTTCCCCTTTGCGAGGTAAAGGAATTGGATCAGCTTTTTTTGGAGGCCTAGGGTATTTCTTTTCAGGATATCCTGGCTGAAAAAAAACTCATTTTGCACAGAGAAAAACTATCTTTCCTTTGCTGCATCCTCCGTCCAATTTGAAGTTCTTTGTGGTGATAAATAATACCACATAACAGAGCTAAGCAAAGAACAGACCAAAACCAGCCGCAGATCTAACCAGTCGGTCCAGTGCTGATTCCTGTGCCCTCTTGTACAGGGAGGAGCACCGACTGTGTCTCTAGACATGTTAACAAACTTCGTTGTGGCGATTGCTAAGAGCTAAACTAACCAATTTTGTTACTAGCCGAATGAGTGTGGGACAGTGGCCCTGCTGACCAGTTCCACCTGAGTTAATGCTGTACACGAACAGGGTATGAATGTAAACCAGTGACACAGGGTGGGGACGACTCCACGTGGACCCAGTTGGCCCCTTTGCCTGGTAGCAGTGGTGACATTAACAGTTCAGTTCACTTACCCAGGTGTCTTCATAGGCTGGGCAAGGCCAAAGCCAGCCAACTCTGCATTTCTAACACCATTTCCAGTTCGCACAAAAGTTTTCACAGTGTTTTGTTCCGACAGAGTGGCTTGGTTTGGGACATTTAAGCTTCCGTGGAAGATAGTAGCACCAGCAAACTTTTTGGTATGGTGTTGCTGCTGCTTTAGTTTGGGGTGGGGGTGAGTACAGGGTAATTCATTAGAAGACAAGACATTTCACTGCTGTTGAAGTTTGAGTTCAGTGTTGGGCTCCTGGTGTGGTCTGAGCGGGATCAGGAAGGGCCTTGTGATGACTTTCATCTGTTCTTTTTGTTACTTTTACTCAGACCGATGGGCGTGGAGGATTACTTAGCCCTCTGCATCTGGCTGCAGTTCTCGTGCTTGCCGTGGAAGCAGTCTGTTGGGTGGTGTGGGGTGCGCTGACCTTAGACTCCGGACCAGGTTTGTCCAGCTCAGCAGCCGCTAGTCCCAGGATCTGTAGAATCCAAGTGGCACTCTGGACTGCTGTGCTGGGACAGAAGGGATCATGTGGGACTCGCTACAGGAGGAGAATTGAATCCACTCAAACGTCCAGGCCAACATGCGGCCTTAGTCTCTATCAATTTCTTGCCTTGCCCCAGTAGGGCTTTTCTGTGTCTCGTTCACCTTGATGCTTTGGAGGGCATTCTAGAAACCCACTCCCCCAGGATTCCATCCAGTCTTCCCTTGCAGTCTCCCCTAAAGTTTGAGGAACTGAGAAGTACAGGCCCCCAGGGAGACTTGCTGTGACCAGACTCCAGCCATGGGAGGCGGATGAGACAGCTGCAGAGGAAACAGCCTAATTCTTCAGGTCAGAAGTGCTGCCAGATTTCCTGGTGGCGCCCTCCCAGACTTGTAGAGGTGAGGAGGGAAGCCAGGGTCTTGCAGTTCAAGACTTTGAAGTAGGAGTGGTGCCTAGGACACCTTGAATGCCACCCGTTGTGCTGGGAGGAAAGCGGGGATGGGCCTTCACGGCTGGCTGTACACACTGGCCTACACCTCACGTTGGGTGTTCGTTCCTTTGGCTAAGATAAAAGTGGTGGCTTGGGCCCACCGTGGGCTGTGTGGCAGACCTACCCAGAGTTCTGTCCTGTCTGCTCTTTCCACTCGGCCTCTGTTGGGCTGCTATACTTCTAGAACTTGAACCGCTGACCATGGTCTGGGGCTCCTGGACTCCCCAGGGGACGCTGCATGGCAAGTCCACGGGAAAAGCTCCTGGTTGTCCCATGTGCGATCTTGTTGGTCCCCCCATCCCTGCCCTTGGCCTCTCCTCACCCAAATCCTTCAAGGGCCCAACTTTCCAGGCCCGCCTTCCCAGCGGCCAACAGCCGACACTCAGGGATGTAGCAAACCACCACTCTGCAGCGTTAGGGTAGGAAAAGGAGGTGGCCACGTGGACGGCTCGGGGTGACAGCAGAGAGCACTCGCGATCTCTGAAAGGAGAATCTGCCACTAGATTGGATTTTTGACCCCTAAGCTGGCTCAGCCACGTGGTCCAAATGCAGGTTCGGTGGGCCTCAGCTCGGAGATGTCAGGAATGGTCTTCTGCAGAGAACACACCCTGCCCCACCTGCAGCCAGGTGTGTGCCGCACAGCAGCCTTCCTGAAACATAGTATGGATTTTTAAAGTTTGTTTATTTTTGTTTCTCAACCACTTTATAATGTATTTTTAATTTATTTTGTAATGTCTTGTTTTTAAGTATTGCTGCTATCCTTGTTATTCTTCCCACTGTTTTTATTGCTGATTTATTTTGTGAAAGTTGTACACTAATGTTCCATTTTATGTCAAAATCAAAAGTATTTAAATACTAGTTCTATTTAATGTGGTTATGGAACCAGCTGGAAACACAAAACCGATTGTACAGCAGGCTGGACCGGGGAGGTCAGGTTCATTTTGTTACATATGCAATAAACTCACGACTTTACATTTTATGATGCCTGTTATTGTGGTGTGGAAATGAGATCCCGGTTTCCTCCCAAGTTTCACAAGCAGGAAAGTCAGTGGTCAGAAATACTGGGAAGGGCCTTCCAAGGAGAAAGGTCGAAAGTAAGGACAGAACTGTACGAAAACAACGAATGGAAATGTGGCTGGTTAAAAGTGCTTTATCAAGCAAACCTCGTGGGATTGGGAAAGCTTAGAACCTCTTCATATCTCCTCTGCACAACCGCTCATAGGGGCTTGGCCTTTTTCACATTTTTGTGGCAAAATAGGCATAAAATTTGGTGGCACTAAAATACATCAAAGGAATCTCGCCCTGGACTTGAGACCGAGATACCAGGTCTTCCCTGGGTCTCCAGCCTGCCTGGCAAAGTGTGGATGTGGAAGTGCCCACAGCTTTGCTGCTAACACCGAGACCAGTGTCGATTCTGTTTTCCAGGAGGCTGCTAATATTCTTTAGTTTGTTCTGCCTTTTAGATGCTTTGAGTAGGCTGTTACGAGCACAGGGATATAGATTATCTGTTGGGACCCTTGCTGTCAGTTCTTTTGCATATATACCTCAGTGGAACTGCTGGGTCGCCTGTGTACTGCTTGAGGGACCGTCATGTACTCTGCAGTAGCTGTACCACTGTACTCACCAGCGATCCCCAAGGTTACAGTGTGTCCACATCCTCACTGCCTTTTTTTTGAGACAGGGTCTCACTGTGTAGTTCAGGCTGGCCTTGAACTCACTTTGTTGCCCTTCCTGCCTCAGCCTCCCAAGTGCTGGGATTACAGGCGTGTGCCACCATGCCCAGCATTTTTTTAAAAGCCATCCCAGGTGGTGTCAGGTGGAATCTCATTTGTAGTTTTAATTTGCATGTCCCTGGTGATACGTTTTCAAGTGTTTGTATCTTCTTTGGGGAGATAGATGTCTCTTCAAGTTCCCCTCCCTTTTTCCTTTGCCCATTTTTGAATTTGGTGGTTTTGTTGTAGTTCCCTGTTTGCTGTATGACTTGCAGATATTCCCTTGCCACATGGGTTATCTTCTCACTCCATATTGTCCTTGGATGTACAAAAGTTCTTAATTTTGGTGAACCATTGTATTTTTTTTTTCTTTTATTTGCCTGTGATTTTGGGGTCAGCTAAGAAATCACTGCCAAATTCAATGTGAACATATTCTTCGATGTTTTAAGAACTTTATAATTAGCTCTTAAGTTGAGATCCTTGTCATTTTGAGTTGGTTTTTGTTGATGGTGTGAGGTAAGGGTTCAGTTTTATTGTTACTTATGTAGATACCTAGTTTTCCCTGTGCCTTATGTAGAAGGATCATGATGATTTCCCCATTGAATGATCATGGTACCTTTGTTGAAAATCAGTTAACCAAATATGCAAAGATTTATTTCCTTGTTTCTTTGTGTTATGGTATGGTCTGTATGTCTGTCCCTGCCAATACTTTTCTGTTTTAATTGTTGTGCTTTGTAGTATTTTTAGAAGCCAGGTAACATGACTCCTGAAACTCTTTTGAAGGCTGCCTTGGCTTTTGGGGGCCTACCGAAATTCCTTATGAAAACTGGGTTTTCCATTTCTGTGGAAAAGGCTGCTGGAATTTTAATAGGGATGGCATTACCTCTGCAGATCATGTTGGGCAGTACTGACATCTCTCATGGCAAAATCTTCCAGTCCAAGAACATGGCATGTCTCTCCTTAGGTTTTCTTTCATTTCTTTCCTCATTTTGTTTTTTTGTAGCATATAAGTGGCAAGTCTTTTACCTCCTTGATTGGACTTATCTTTAGATATTTCTTCTAGATGCTATTATAAATATAATGGCTTTCTTGAGTTCCTGTTTGGATCATTCACTGCTGCCGTACAGAAATGTTAAGTACATCTGTGTGCTGATCTTGTACCCTGGAAGGTCTAGATTTGTTCGGTGGCTTTCTAGTGGACTGTTTGGGATACCCTATTTATAAGATTATATCATCAGTGAATTGAGATAGTTTCACATATTCTCATTTGGCTGCCTTTTATTTCTTATTCAGTAGCTCTGGCTTCTCAGTGCAATGTTAAGTAGCAGTGATAAAATGCAGCTTTGTGTTGTTCTTCATTTTGGGGGAATGCTTGTAGTCATATGCATTTTCTACATAGATTAAAGTGCATATGTGCCCCCCCATTCTGTGGGCTTAAACTGATTTTCTTCCATTCCGAGGCTACATCCCACTTGTTCATGATAAATAATCCTCTTAGTATGCAGCAGGGACTCAATTTTTAGTATTACTGCTATTTTTGTTGTGAGTCAGAGTTCCAGGCTGGCCTTGAATTTGAGATCTATCTTTCTGCCTCAGCCTGCTAAGGGCTGGGATTACAGGTGTGCACCACTAGGTCCAGCTGAATGGCATTCTGTTGAGGGCTTTCATATCTCTATTAATAAGGGACACTGACGTATAGTTTTTCTATACTGTCTTTGGCTTCGGTCTCAGGGTACTGCTGGTTTCATAATGTTAGGAAGCATTCCCTTTCTTTGAACTAGTAATGAACAGTTTCCCAGCAATGCCCCTACTATTTGTAGATCCATTTAGATTTCCTATTTCTTTGTGATTCACTTCTGGTAAGGCGCATGTTTCCAGGAAATCAGGAAATTTCATTTAAGTTACCCAGTTTGTTGGCATACAGTTGTTCATAGACCTCATACAACCTTAATGCCCCCTTTTCTGATTTAGTTGATTCTTATTTTTCTTAGCTAAAGTTTTGTCAATTTTGTTATCTTTTTGAAGAACTACTTCACTGATTTTTTTTTTTTCCTATTTTCTTGGCTGTAACATTTTCTACCTTTGCTAGCTGTGAGTTTAGTTTGCTTTTCTTTTTCTCATTCCTTAAGGTGTAAAGTAGGTTCCTGCTTGGAGACCTCTGATTTTTTTTAGTATATTTACAGCTATACATTTCCTCTTTAGTGCCGCTTTCACTGCATCCCAAAGTTTGGGCATGTTGTTTTCATGTTAGTTATCTCAGGATTTTTTCTAGTTTTCCTGTTTTTTTTATTTTTTTTTGGTTTTTCTCTGGTACCCGGAACCGAACTCACGACCTTGCGCTTGCCAGGCAGGCGCTTTGCCGCTGAGCTAAATCCCCAGCCCCTCTAGTTTTCCTTTAGATTTATTCTTGGACGCCTTGGTTAAGAGTGTCTTGTTTTATTTCCACACATTTGTGAATGTCCTACCTTCCTGTTCTAGCTTCATTCCATTGCGGTCAGAACAAATACTTTTTACAGTTTCAGTCTTCTTTGAGAATGTTTTGTATATACTTCAGAAGCATGTGTATTGTGTTATTACTGCTGGGATATTCTGTATATGTCTGTTAGTTTAGTTGGTCTGTGGTGGTGTTCAAGTCCTGCATTTCCTTAGTAATCCAGCTGATCCTTACAGTGGGGTGCTGAAGTCTCTCAGCCACTGTAAGCTATCTTACTCATTCTTCAGTATTGTCAGTGTGTATTACAGGGTCTCTGGGTTATCTTCATTGAAACGCATTGAGAGTTTCTTAAATTTGTATGCCCACTGGTTTTTTTTTCCAAGTTTGGGTAGTTCTCACCCATTATTTTTTCAAATAAACATTGCTCCTTTCTCTTGCCTCCTGCATATGCAAAGGTTTTTCACTTCTCCACAGGGCTATGCCAGTTCCCCACCGTTAAGGTAACCTATCGTGGTCATCCTTTGGCCCTCCCTTGGCTGGGTACCTTTCCAAGCATCCCTGTGTTCGCAAAGTCCTGCTCTTTTGCACTGGCTACTTGTGACATCTAGGCCTGTGCTCCCCTGTGGCCCTGGCCTTGTCCAGTAGGTAAAGACGGCCCTACAGTCTGCCTGGCGGCAGCTATGTGCTATACATAGTGCTGGTGGTGGGGTAAGTGTCAGGCAGTGGCACTGCTCTTGCTAGTCATGGAAGAGCAAGGAAGCTTCCTGCGGGAAGCTTGGGCAAGACCTCACGTTGCTGGGGAAGCTGGTGGCAGGTAGTGCGGCCATCGACTTTTCATCACAGAAGGCCAGAGTGCCTGCCGTTCTGGTAAGAAGACATCTGTGCTTGAGCTTAGCTTCACATGAACATTTCAGAGGCCTTGAAACAACGTTAATGGAATCAGACGAAAGGAGAAATAAACCCAGAGCCCATTCATAAAGATCTGGAAAGCTCTCATTCTTTACTTGGGCTTAAAGTCAAGAGTTTTACGAAAGAAACGAAATCTAAGTGTACAGCACAGGTCAAGCTGAGGTGAGACACTGCTTAATCATGAGGAGTTGCCTTCAAACATAATTAGAAGCAACGAAGTCAGCCTCTAAAACCCATGAGAAAGAACGGTAGAGAAAAGGCTCTGGACCAAAATCTGGTCTAAATAAGAAAGCTAAGAACATAAAGCTGCTTTCAAAAGAAGCTGAAAGGGAAGAGTGGATGTCTGTGCTGAACGGAACGTAGCACCAGAGGGACCAAACAGCACGTGGGGCAGCACGGTGCTGCCAACGGCGCAGCTGAGTCCAAGGTCGCCCCCCCCCCCCCCCCCCCGCAGACACTGACCAAGCCACCCAGGGGCACCGGCCACGGAGGAGATGTGGCCGGCAGGACCGTGCAGCTGGTGGTACAGCTGTGTTAAGAAATGGAAGTCCCTTGGTTAAACAGGATTTCTGAAGAAACTGATATGGCTGAGTTATGTTCTTAATTTTAAAACGAGAAGAAAAAGGAAACTACATATATGCAGAAGTGGTAAAGAAAGCAGTGTCCTTTAAGGAATGATCTGACATTTCACTAAGGTCAGAAGCAATGGTAGAAAGCCACATGTCCAGGTTGTGGCAGAACTGTGTTGTGGTAAATGAGTCTCCGAAAGATACTCAACCAACATGAATTCCCTGTGCAAAGAGAAGAGACACTGAGGCAATTTCGAAACGTTCAGCCATGCATGGGAAAAACTGGACACTGGCAAATACCACAACTGTCCCAGAAACTCTGTCCTATTTCAAGGCCGGCTAATTTCTCATGACA